TATATTTTGTTGACAAACGTCTTGCTCGATGTATTTGAATCACTCAGTAGGGATGCTGTTGATTCGTAGGTCTTAACACTGTTCACGATCACCAAGTCTTCTGATAGGTGCGGACTCCAATCCTTCACTCAGTATGACTTTGGGAATCTTCTCTCAACACCTGAATTTGTTGAGCAATGAAGAGTGTTAGACAACTAGGTTTCGACAGGAGAACCTACTGCTCTCTTTAGCTTAAGAGTAGATGTTGTGTAATGCTCAAGCCTTTTCTTATTTTAACATCTAATCTACGGACTAACCTACAAATATTCTTTATGCAGGCCTATTATTTAATGGAACAATATAATCAATATATGGATCATGGACTGATTATGATAATAGTCAGTGTTTATCATGTAATAGCATTTTAGCTATAAATGCAAATAATAATTTCATTAACAGAATATAAAGTTACTTAAAACACATAATAGGTGAGAGGCAATTTAAAATTAACTTGATAAAAGGGCTGCATATATTATAGACAGTTATATTAAATAATCTAAACATTCAGTTGACTTAACTAAACTGGTTAAGCTAAAAAATAATAAAGCTATGCTGGTCTTACCTGAATTTGTTGAGCAATGAAGAGTGTTAGACAACTAGGTTTCGACAGGAGAACCTACTGCTCTCTTTAGCTTAAGAGTAGATGCTGTGAAATTGTTTGTGAAACAATCTACTTTTATCTGATTCGTTCCCCTCCCTAATTATCGACAACATTCCTGAGACCCTTTGTTAGGTCACATTACAGGGTATAATTACCCTTCTTGGAGACAAGTGGCTGACTATTTAGCTAGTAGTTTATACCAATACATAGCCAGTGGTTATCAGGCAAGGTGAATAATCCCATTAATTATTCTTATGGTCAGCAAGCTTCTTTGTCTTGTCTATCTTGGAATTTAGGGAGGTAGGGGAGTTATTTTAAATACTTTCCCTTCTGTACCATTTTTGTACACTGGTTACAATAGCAAAACCATATTTACTTTCATACTGTATATCTCAAAGATGTCACTGGGAGATTAAAAAAACAGTAGGCTAGATGACATATATGATCATGCATATAGCCACTGTGACCCATCCATAAAGCGTACTGCCCGTCGTTTAGGGATCACATGATGATTGATCTGCAATAATAAAGAAAAAACATTGAAATTTTGTTGAAAGGAGGTTGTGGCACTACTGGGGCCAGGAAACAAAGGCAAAGTCAAGTTAAGAATGAGTTATGGAGACTAAAAAACACAATTTTTTTTATGTTTACCTTTAGTTTCAACGTCTGAGTATCAAAGAATGATATCTCAGGTAACACACCATACATCGATACTAAACCATTAATATGCAGCTGTTGCATATATGACACCTTCACCCTTAAAAGACATGTATACAAGGTTTATTTAATTTCTTAATGCAATTCAGTAGAAAGCATAGATTCTACATATTTAAATCCATTATCCATTTTGTAGACATAAGTATATAAATTTCAAATCTTCTACAACAGCATAATAATTTACAAAATTACATGGTTTAGATGACATCTAATCGCCTGGGCTTTAATGTACAGTAATAGGGAGAAAATGAAAAATTATGCCATTTAAAAAAAATTAACAAAAGACTGCTTACTTACTAAACAAGGATACTCATCTGTAATGGTTTCAAAATGCACATCTGTTGAACCAGGACTACAAATACCTTTACGAAAGTAAAAACATACAAGATTAAATTAAGGTAGTAACAAATTAGATATTGATTAAACAACATTGTAGACTAACATGGTAGTGTAATGTAAAGTAAATTTGGATTCATTCCTGTTTCTAACAAAATTTAGGAAAATTTTCTAATGTCCATTCAGTGCAAGTTTCAATTTTTCAATCGTTTACTTTATTTTTTTCTGTTAGTTATTCTGAACTGAAAATCAAATTTTGTGTGAAAGTACCTTTAGTTTAAACAGTGACAGATTAATTTTGTGTTCAATGGTTGCCAAATTGGCTATATTTGGACGCAGTGATGAACTACATATGTTAATCCTAAGTTAATCCTATTCTTTTTTATTGTGTCCATTGCTTGTCAATTTGGCTACAGTGGGACAAAGTGATGAACTACAAATGTCTTCTTTAAATCTCATTGAGCTAATCCAATTCTTTTTTATTGTGTCCAATGGTTGCCAAATTGGATAGTGTGACACAGTAATAAACCATTGGATAGTGTGACACAGTGATAAACCATTTTATGGTTTATCACTGTGTCACACTATCCAATTTGGCAACCATTGAACACGATATTTAATATCTTGCTTAATATTTTCGAAGTTAATCTCGTTCGTGTCCAATGGTTACCAAAATGGCTATAGTGGGACACAGTAATAAACTAACTATATTTTCTGTTAAGAGCACATAGAAAAGAAAAATAGATTATCACTCCCACCCGCGTCAAAATATTTGAGAAATATTGATGTGGAAATTTTAAAAAAAAAAGTTTTGCTGCATCATTTATTTCAACTGCATAAAAAAAACAATGGAATGACAAATTCTTAAAAAAAAAACAACAAAATCAAATCAGGTTTTATACAATAGTTACAATATTCTTGTGAA